AGAAAAGTGCCTGAGGCTATTTGTTGTTGTAGTTGTCATGGAAACGATGTAATACACATTCGTACCAAGTTTCACCTCCTTGCATGATACTGTTAGCGAGTTTGAGGAGTGAAGAAGTAATTTTAAAGAAAAGTGCCTGAGGCTATTTGTTGTTGTAGTTGTCATGGAAACGATGTAATACACATGCGCACCAAGTTTCACCTCCATGCGTGCTACAATTAGCAAGTTTGAGGAGTGAAGAAGTAATTTAAAGAAAATTGCCTGAGGCCTTTTCGAACAATATGTGGTCGTCATGGAAACATGTAATCGTCATGGAAATGATATAATAGGCATACGTACCAAGTTTCATCTCTATGCGTGCTACCATTGGAAAGTTTGAGAAGTGAAGAATTTAATTTAAAGAAAGGTGCCTGAGGCTATTTGTTGTTATTTACAAACATGTATTGTTGTGATTTTGATGTTGGCTATTGAATACATTGTGTATACAAACTTTTGCTCGCATAACTCTTACCAATTGTTAGACCGCAGTCACGCGCAATTGACCAATCAGATTACAGAATTGCGGGGGGTTTATTTTTCATAGACACCTCGTTTCAGGTGTCTATGGCGTTTGCAGGTGGTCTACAGCAAACTCCCCGTACAAAATGGCTATTCTAAAAAAGTCGTTATCTGCGCAAACTGGCCGATTCCGCGTTCGGTATATGAAAGCGTAGAAGGCGCGACTGGCAAAGCAGCTCTTTTAAAATGCGTAGTGCAGCCTGCAAGAAGTCTGTGGACAGTCTCCGGAGCTCGCGAAAGTCAGAAATCACGTCAATATTCACGAAAAAAGCGTCGGCTTCTTCAGCTCTGGCGATATACACAAACACATTGGGCCGTTGCCGTGCGTTGCTAACCCTTTCAAACGCGCACCACCAATGAGGGCGTTTTATGATGACGTAAACGATTTTTGACGGGGGGCGGGGGCTGTCTCCTCGGAGTCTCACACGTAAAAAAGCGTCTTGTTCCATCCGAAGGTAAGGAATGAGGAATGAGCACAGCGTTGCTAGCTTGTTGCTACCCATTTGAACGCGCAAACACCAATCAGATACTCCGGTCTAAACCGGTTAGACGCGGAAGCTCGGTTGTCTACGCAACATTGCAACCTCGGGGCATGTGGGTAGCGCCCTCGCTGCGCTCGGGACGCCACATTTCCACAGCCCCTCGGGTTGCAATGTAGCGTACGCGAACCTGAAATATAAAAGGGTGATTTTCCTGAAACGACTGCGTTCGAGAGATATGCCGTGAAAACAAGCGAAAAAGCCAATATGCTAATTAGCACTGGCTTACCGTGACCTGATCCGCTCGCTCTATGTTCCTTGGGGGCTCAAGAAATCACAACGAATGGTATGTATCGACTCCCGCATGCTATCTACTACTGTAACTAGCCCGTGTCAGACTCTCTGCGAGCTACTAGCGGGAGACTACTAGTAAACACATACAAATAGCCCAGCCCATCGCGCAGTTTGCCGAGCAAGCGTACTAGAGGACATTCTTGGCGATCCGTTCACCATTACAGATAAATATACATAATATATATTATATATTATATATAATATGGAAAGATTTCACATTCAGACTCCTATGTAGGTGGGCTTGCTCCACTCCCCAATTAATTGGTGAGTGACTGCGAGAATCACGTAGAACATTGGTATGCAATGCCCATCACTCACTGACTCACATTCATTCAGACGACTAGGAAGGCTAACTTCGCTCGTCAATCACATACCAGTCACAGTCTGTACGTGAGGTTTGGCAATCCCCACAGCCTTTGTTTCTCCTGCTCTATAGAGATAGCGGGATAACTCTTTCCAGCAGGGAACGTTATGATAGAGAGCATAGTACTTCCCAGCCTCAGCAGTGACTTGATCATGATCACTGAACTTCTCACGGAAGAGAGCAGCCCTGGCATCTGGTACTGTAGTGTAGCCAACAATATCCTCCCAGTTTCCAGATATGGCAGTGGAGACTGGTATGAGGAGGTGTGGATTGAGGGATGGATCTGAGGAGAGGACCAGCCACTGTCATCAATTGAAACTAATCTATTCTCAAACAATAATAAGGTTAAGAGCATGTGTAAAGTGCATATCAACGCTGCATGCACGATCTTTGCACCGAGGGTGCCTTTTCATTAAGGATTTTTATTATAATAATCTATTATACTTCAGTGCTTTTTGTTCCAGAAAAAACTATTATAATGTAGAGGGAGAGTCAGGGAAGAAGGCTACTTCAAGACACTAGTCTTCCACATGTCAACATGATGTACACACAGCTCAGGCTGTGGTGGGTTTCAATATAGCCAGAGGTATACAATTCACTGGCTGTGTTGTGTTCTCTATTGTAGCCATACCTGCTGGGGGCTCTGCATACTCCATCAATGAGTCTGCTAGAACTGTGTGTCCAATTTCGTCCAGATAGAATATCATCTTTCTCATTTTCGTTGGATCTGTACTCTGTACTTAGACCGCAGTCACGCGCAATTGACCAATCAGATTACAGAATTGCGGGGGGTTTATTTTTCATAGACACCTCGTTTCAGGTGTCTAATGGCGTTTGCAGGTGGTCTACAGCAAACTCCCCGTACAAAATGGCTATTCTCAAAAGTCGTTATCTGCGCAAACCGGCCGATTCCGCGTTCGGTATATGTAAGCGTAGAAGGCGCGACTGGCAAAGTAGCTCTTTTAAAATGCGTAGTGCACCTGCAAGAAGTCTGTGGACAGTCTCCGGAGCTCGCGAAAGTCAGAAATCACGTCAATATTCCATGAAAAAAGCGTCGGCTTCTTTAGCTCTGGCGATACACAAACACATTGGGCCGTTGCCCTGCGTTGCTAACCCTTTCAAACGCGCACCACCAATGAGGGCGTTATATGATGACGTAAACGATTTTTGACGGGGGGCGGGGGCTGTCTCCTCGAAGTCTCACACGTAAAAAAAGCGTCTTGTTCCATCCGAAGGTAAGGAATGAGGAATGAGCGCAGCGTTGCTAGCTTGTTGCTACCCATTTTAACGCGCAAACACCAATCAGATACTCCGGTCTAAACCGGTTAGACGCGGAAGCTCGGTTGTCTACGCAACATTGCAACCCTCGGGGCATGTGGGTAGCGCAAAAAAACAAAATAGTGGGATGTTGAGAGTGCAGTAGAGTACTATATATAGGTTAGACGCGGAAGCTCGGTTGTCTACGCAACATTGCAACCCTCGGGGCATGTGGGTAGCGCCCTCGCTGCGCTCGGGACGCCAACATTCCACAGCCCCTCGGGTTGCAATGTAGCGTAGACACCTCGCTTCCGCGTCTAACCTATATATAGTACTCTACTGCACTCTCAACATCCCACTTATCATCAGGGATGGAGAGAAGGTCACAGAGGCCTCTGAGGTTACTGGTGTTCTCAAAGACCTTCCTGAGTGCGGCTTTACTTGGAGGGAGTGCTGCGAGGAAAGACTATGACATCATCAATAACTAACTCAACTCCATCGAACATTTAAAATATATTTTTGCATACGACCAGTGATGACGTCATACAAACCTAAAATTACATCATCTCTCTCAACCTATCAGAAAATACCATCATCATCATTCACTGGGCAGTCATAATCTAATAGTTATCATTTTATTTTCCTCTGTGTGCGATGCGCGGCTCGCGGCGACTGTCTTATGTTTCTTCCACGTCCAGACTTGGTCCCCTCCTCCAGTATATAGCCATCTCTGACTCACGTGAGCTTCTTCTGGTCATCGATCGAAAGCGGGCCTTGAAAAGTGTTGGATGAAATGCTGGTGGTGGAAAAACCCAGACGAGAAATGAGCACAAGGCGTGGCTGCTAGAATAACGTGATTTGTAAACAATATGTGCACACACGCAATAAACATTCTAGACAATAGGAAGTAATGAAGATGAGGAGGAGGAGGAGGAAGGGAGAGTGTTTTGGTCAGTCTCAGTTGTGGGACTACTGGCTTTGCTCATACCGTCCAGTACCTTGTTCACCAGCTGGGAGAGGAGAGAGAGAGGAGAGAGAGAGAGCAAGAGAGAGAGAGAGAGGAGAGAGAGAGAGAGAGAGAGAGAGAGAGAAAGGTACAGAGAAAAAAGGGAGATTATGAACGGGGAGTATTAAGGCATGCACAAATGAGCCTAGCTCTAGTCAAAACATTGGTACATAATTTCTGGGAAAAAACTGATTGGATGAATGTGAATACAAGCAACCAACTGAATTTTCATCATCTGGGTCATTTTTGGGACCTAACTGACTCAGATATATAGAGAAGAGGAGGAGAGGGGAATGGAGGAGGAAAAGAGAGAGAGACACAAAAATTGTCTCTTTACTGTTATATTTTTAACACAGGTATGGGAGAGCCTCAAAACACCTACTATTGGTGAACCAACCTGAAAGAGGACGTTTCCAGAGACAAAGTCATTATCGACGAGGTTGACGAGGTAGTAGGTGTTCTGGATGTGTGAGATGATGTGGTGGGAGGTGGACTCGGGGCTGTAGAGACTGGCCCAGTGGGTCCCCCACAACATGAAGGCCTCGTCCTAAAGGAGGGAGACACCATCAGTAAGATCTTGTAATGGTAAAAAGAAAAAGCTCGATGTCTCAAGAAAGTCGCAGAAAAAAGCAGATTGCAAAATTCCGTAGAAGACGGGAGAACGGTAAAACAGAGGAACAGCAGGAAATTCACAGAAAATAATGAGAAAGAGAAATGTTTGGAACAACAACAGCAAAATGAGAACGAAAAAGAAGTGATTTGTGGCTATACCTTCCAAATATGGAAGCTGACGGGGTCGACGACCGTGGGTTGTATGATCTCCATGCCAGGGAAAACCCCCCAGGTGACCGCTATTGGCTGGTAGGAGTCGCAGTTTGTCATGTTTTCCGTTCCCTGGGAAGGAGAAGAGGGTGGAGGGATTTGAACAGCTATATACTGCAGTGGCTATAGTCACAACTCTGGTTTCGTGCTAAAAAACATTTCGCTAACAAAAAATTTCAAGAACCTCTGAAAAATAGCAAGTTTTCACCAAAAGTTTCTCAAAGGCAGTAGACAGACGTCTGTACCTGGTGTGCTAAAAACTGAAATTCTACTTTTGCAGTTGAGTAACAATCACGATGCTCTCTTGTCGAGAGGGTCTTTAGTTGTGTGGTATGTACCTGTCTGTTGACAATATTATGGTAGTTGACTTGAGGATAGTCCTACCTCATGGTTTACTCCGGACACCCTCCCCCATCGTCCTACCCCGTTTTCCCCACCCCGGGGTCTGTGGTACCCCAACCCTACCCCTACCTCCCCTCGTCCTCCCACATGGATTTCCCCTCGTTCCCTTAGTCTTTAGTTGTGTGGTATATATACCTGTCTGTTGACAATGTGGTAGTTGACTTGAGGATAGTCCACCAGGACCGTCATTAGCGCTCTCATGAACGACGGACTACAGAAGAACTCCAGATATGCCTGTAAGTAGAGAAAAAGAGGGAGGGGGAGAGAAGGGTTATTTTGTGGCATTGAAGAGGAGTCTTGCATCTCAAGACATTATTAATCCTTGGGAGAGCTGGAGAAGTGAGGTGTCCTAATTACCTCAAATGAGGTAAGTACACACACATACCTTTTGATAGACGAAGCCTCCTTTCTCCCCCCAGCCGATCACGGGATCAGAGGAGCTGCGGCCGTTGACGGCAGGCTGGCTGTTGATCGTGAGGACTCCGCGTCGGTTGATGGCCGCCAGCTGCTGAGTCAGCAGAGACGTCTCCATGGCGAGCTCGTCGTCATTCCACGGGAGACTGGTCACCTGACAGGAAGTGATGTCAGCAATTTAAACCAGGATATGCACTATGTTCTAAATTCTTTCACACAACACTTTTGTGCTAATAATAATTCCCAGTCATTGTCTAAAAAGAGGGACAAGGAAAAGCCTTGTGTCCGTGTGGTTCCCTAAGATTTGAGTAATTGCGCAATATCCTCCTGTCCCCTCCCAAAATGAACCCCTCCCCCCCCACACCTTGACTCCATTCTTATTCCTGTTGCCGGTGAGGTAACACTCAAAGACATGGAACACGTCCTCGGGGCAGTTCAGCTCCTCCCCCCACATGACCCGCAGTCGCTCCGGTTTCCAGCGAGTCCGCAGGTAGAACAAGTGGTAGTCGGCCAGCTCTCCAAACGCCGGGGAGGACGAGTTGCCCCAGCGACCGTTGGGAAAATCATCCCATTCTTTGCTTCTGGAGAGATAAATGTGTTCACATTTACTTCACCAAACAACAGATCGACAAAGGTTAGCCCAATTTTCAACAGTCACTCCTAAAAATATTTCCACTGCACTCTCCAGCTATAGTTAAGGTATTTAGAATGGTTAGTTGGTCTGTTCCTCCCCCCACTTGCTTGTTAAAAGTACAAACAATTTAGGCCACCCTATATTTTCCCTGCACTCTCCAGCTATAGTCAAGGTATTCAGAATGGTTAGTTGGTCTGTCCTTCCCTCCACTTGCTTGTTAAAAGTACAAACAATTTAGGCCACCCTATATTTTCACTGCACTCTCCAGCTATAGTCAAGGTATTCAGAATGGTTAGTTGGTCTGTCCTTCCCTCCACTTGCTTGTTAAAAGTACAAACAATTTAGGCCACCCTATATTTTCACTGCACTCTCCAGCTATAGTCAAGGTATTCAGAATGGTTAGTTGGTCTGTCCTTCCCTCCACTTGCTTGTTAAAAGTACAAACAATTTAGGCCACCCTATATTTTCACTGCACTCTCCAGCTATAGTCAAGGTATTCAGAATGGTTAGTTGGCCTGTCCTTCCCCCCACTTGCTTGTTAAAAGTACAAACAATTTAAGCCACCCTATATCTTCACTGCACTCTCCAGCTATAGTCTATATAATTATATACAATACCTGTGTATGTAGCTCTTGGGTCTCTGGGCCCAGAAGATTGGTCTGACGTCTTCGGCACACCTCTTGTGACTGGCTGGAGCTTTCCATGGCAACGTTTTCAGTGATAGTGGATCATCACACCACATACCTTGGAGGGGGAGGAGGAATATAGATAGAGATATGAGATATAAGTTGGAGATAGATAGAGATATAAGAGGAACAAGATAGGGGGAAAGACGAAATTGTGAGTGAGAGAGGAAATTTGGTGATGACAATCGGCCTAAAGATCCTTCAACGGTCTATCGTACTCGTTGAACCCCCGGGGGCTCGCTCACTAAAGGCGTCGTGAGGAATTGCCAAGGTTGTGGTACATTTTGGCCTAATGTGTTTTCTCCGGGTGTGGCCCCTCTTAGACCTTGGTCAGGGGGACTCAACGATCCGTCAGTCATGAGCTTCCTTTTAAACCCTGTGGTGGGCGCCTAAACTGGCGTACTCCATTTTTTATGGATATTATCTAATCATGCTCTCTCCACCTCGTAAGGTTCTATCTAGATTATTTCAGATTTTGATTACTGTCTCTAAATTTCTGACCCAGGAAGTTTGTAATTTGATAGGAATTGGGAAAGTTCTTTATGCTACCAGGGTTTTGGGATCGTCCTTAGTCCATCTGTCTGGATACGATTAAAATTTTCTCCAATGATCCGGAAGATCCCAAGTTGACTCCCCACGAGTATCTCCAATCTTGGGTTGAATGTCACCCCCCCGCCCCCCGCCCCCCCTATCCCCACAGGGAATAGTGGAGGCGAATTCTTTGACGTGTTCACCAGGAGTTTAGTTGTTGTGGTGGGACTTAAAGGAGACTGTTGCGGTAGATCAGGGGGGGGGGTACCCAATAGGCTGTACGTATGGGCGTAATGGATGACTTAGCGAGAGTTTAACGGTCGATAAATTTTGGGGTCGACCTTGGTAACTACGAAAAGCTGTTCATACCGGTTCTCATGAAATTCCCTTCATGGAACACAACTCTCCATTACTAGCTCTCCCTAACGCAGACCAGGCCCCCCGTCCGGTTATCCCACTGGAATGGGAGATTACAATGAGAAAGACTCGCCTCCCCCATTGTCCAACGAATAAGACGTCAAGGAAGCCACTATCAACAATCAATCGGGGGTGCGAAAGAAAAAGGGGACAAAGAAAAGCCACTTAAATGCGGGGCGAGTCGTATTTATACGGGTAGGGTGGAATGAAGGAATTGGAAAAGGGTGTTTGTTGGTCCTAGGAGGACAAATAAGTCAGGAAGGAAAAAACAAACAGAAAAAGAAGACAACGAAAAGGTTTGAGCAAGTGTAGCGGGGGAAAAGATGAAAGAGGATAGAAAGGGAGAGTGAAACTACTATAGTGGGAAGAAATGTGAACATACCTAGTTCAGTAAGGATTGAAATAGTGGCGACCTCTTCGATTCAGAGTATAGAAATGTAGACCATTCACCTGTACATAAGGAGAGACAGAGAGAGAGGTAAAATAAGTGAAGAAATAGAGAAAATAACATCTCACCAGTCCAGAGTTGAGTAGCTCTTTGCACACGTTGACCGCAAAACTGATGCCAAACTTTTGGATCGCGGCGTCGTCGTCTTTGATGGGTAAGATGGCGTCCATGATGTTTCGAGGAACCTCCAGTTTCGATAGCTTTGTCAGATTGTGCAGACTCCTGTAGCCCTATTGTGTGTATATAGAGTACACTTGTACTATAGCTGAGAGAGAAATTGCAAGAATACCACATGGTTTCTGTTGGCACAAAATTGTTCTTGAAACTCGAGAACAGGTGTTTAACTGGACGAGACACAGTGACAGGTACATACATACATGCATGTGGCAAAAATTTCAAAGGGAACAGATATTTAACTGAATTTGAAGAGAAATTTTGATGTCAGTTTACGAGGGCACTACATACAAAGTTTTCGGGTAAGTATACACGCAAATACTGTTGCCGATAGACTAATTGACAACTAATTCGATATACCTGAATGGGAAGTATTCCTGGCATGATGGGAACAGTAATCCCAATCCTCCTGCAGTCATGGTAGAACTTGATGAAAGTTGAGGCCTCGAAGAACAGCTGCGTGATGATGAAATCTGCGCCTGCGTCCACCTTCTCCTTCAGATGTTGAATATCCTCATCGTAGTTGGCGCAGTCAGGGTGACCGTGGGGATAACCTGGAATTACAGGGACAAACCCGTTTACAAAACTGGACTGACCAGATTAACCTGAATCATTAACTACAGCAAATCTCCTCTAATCTGGACACTAATGTTGCGTGACAGAAAGACGTTTCCAAATTAGTGAGGCATTTTATTCATAACTTGCATGCAAAAAATAAGGAAGCATCTACATCAAAAATACTTGCCAACTATGGTCCAAAAACAGCTAAAGTTCTATAATGATGATAAAAATATAAGTGAGTCTTGTAAATTTAGCATAAAATCGGTTGAAGCGTAAAGAAGTTAGGGAGGAGAAAAAGAAAGATAGAAAAG